AATAAACTACTACCTAAGCCAGTGATGCAAAATTTCAAATACAACTTTAACAAGCATGACACAATGACAGAAAATACCAGTTGTTTTTTATTTTTGATTGCTTGAAAAAAAAAAAAATATGTTAAAATTCACTTGGAAGTGCCTTCATTGGTTGGTTCTTCCAGTTACGCTCAAGCTGCTACATTTATTATAATTAAAACATCCTTTATGCTTATTGTACTTTTTTAAGTAAAGGTTGTATAAGCATTAGATAAAAAATAAAATAAAAAAATTATGTTAGAGTTCAATTATATAATAAATTATAATAAATATTTTAAATACTATTTATCAACTGCTTTTTATTTTGGTTAACAAAAGAGTACAAAGATTGGAGAATGAATAAATCTTATATTGTTCAAGCAYAGTATCAAAGGGTGTGCCAGAAAAATGATTGATCTAAAATTGAATACCTAGTTATTGAATTAATAGTACCAAAAATAAAAAATATTTTAGTCTKTAAATATTTAAGATTTAAATTATTGTTTAATTAYATAATAGTATTTAATATGCTACTTATTAATTTTATTACCAAATTTTGAGATTAACAATGCCCATAAGTTTATTATATAGACCGAATATAATAATTTAAATTATTACATTAAATGATAACAATGCTCAATTTTTAATTGTATAGACTCTATACTATAGAGCAGGGGCGGCCAAACGGTCGATCGCGGACAATTTMAAAGTCGATCATGTTAGAATTTATTTTTAGGGCAAGCGCAMGAATTGTTATCGAATTGTTGATAAGTTTTATGTGTTTRTAGTGCCACACTTCAACAATGCCCAGATCAACAAAATAATATGTTAATTAAACTTATYWAATTAGATTTTAGAAATTATTATTTATTATTATATTATTTTTAGTAATTAGTAATAAGTATTAATTAATACTTATTGTATGTTTATATGCACTTTATGCAAGTATGTTTCTTAATAATTATAGTTATTTAATAATAAAAAAAATTTCTATAAAAGTCGATCCTCAAAKGTGAAGTATATTTTTAGTAGATCGTGAMCAAAAAAAGTTTGGCAATCTCTGCTATAGAGTCTATATACACATACTATTGACTATAGAATTCTCAATATTGTATGCTTTTCATACACTACCAACAGAATATGCATGATATTTCCATTTTGTGGTTAAACGTGAGTGCTTTAGAGCCTTCTGAATTGTTCAAATATAAAATTGACATGRTCCTTTATAGTCTTCACTTGACTATGATTTTCAACAAAAATTTAAAGAACCGTAAAGAAAAAACTGTGTAACATGAAAGCATGATAGAAAGTTTAAATAAAGGTTCTTAGAATTCTATTTATATGCATATGACTTGCTTATGGTAGGTAATTAATTACAAGTATYTACAATTGGTGCAATTTATAATATTAATGGTGTTTTATTCGATTTTTCTGTCTAGAGAAAATTAGAAAATGGTTATTATTTATATTATACGTGATTAAATTAATTTTGTTTATAACAAAGTATAMAATATACAGTTTAATGCACCTATTGTAGTATAGAGACAACGACTGAATTTAGAAGAAATTCAATTCACCAGAGCTTTTCCGAGTACCTACAATTAAGATTCATTAATTATATTTGATACTTTTCCTATAACTTCTGTTACCCAGGAACATGGATTTTCTGTTAGGTAGGTACTTAAGAATTAAGAGTTACTTTTGTTGGGATATACGTCATTTCGTCGCGGTAATTTTGTTGCACGTMAATTCGTTGAGGTCAATTGGGCGCACAACAATTATGGACGCATACAGCATTTCGTCATGTGTAATATCGAGGCATGCTATACCTATTTGGTCGCATATTATATTTATGTAGGACGTAGGTATATTCTAAATAAAAATAATAATTTTACATAATATCAGTCATTTAAGTTTATTGTTATATATATTTTTATTTATAAAATGTAGAATTAAATTCGATCAAAATAATAATAATAATAATAATAAATAAAAAAAATAAAAAAATATTATTATTTATAAAAATAAAAATAGTGAGCAATACCTTTCAAAACCTCGCATATTGGATTATTATTAACATTTTTCATATCTGCATTAATCTAATAGACGAATCATTATATATATATTTTTTACATGGTTCATGCCCAGCAATTATTTGTTTGTTTGAATATATATGCGACGAAATGTCGTATGCATCCAATTGTCGTGCGACCAAATGACCGCGACGAAATGACGGGATACCCTCATCCTGTTGGTACCTAATCGAGAGGTTTTCATCATAATATAGCCCTTTTAAAAATTAACATTAAATATTGTATTCTTTTTCGTGGGACATTTATCTTAATATTTTTTTATTAATTATGTGTATTTTATTTCTGTCATCATCATTCAGGGTAATAAAACTGTTTATATATTTATACATATATATTATAATACCAATTTTTGACGAGATCGATTTTATTTTTTCTTGTATACCTAACTTAATAACTAATTACCGTAGACAATCTAAATTTTCATAAAATAGTTATATTAGCATTTGAAATATATGGTGATATTATCGAAATATTTCTTCAAGAGTTTTTTTTATTTTATAGCCTGGAGAATTTTTTTTAAATTTTGTCTTTTTTTAGAAATTATTGTTGATAATAAATTAATAACTTTTTCACTTTATCACACAATATTTTGAAAATTAAACGCAAGAGCCAAGGGTCATCATCATCAAAAGACTCTTTAATAGCAATTCAAAAGWRTTCAAGATATATTGGCAGAATTATTTTTGACGTGCATTTAAAGTTCAAATTTTGACGAAATTCRTGGAAATCTAGAAGATTACTATTTTTAGTAATTTTACATMATAGAAAATAAATATTTAATACCATGATAACTTAGTGATAAATGATAATCCAAATTATTTAGGTAAATTGTTATCTGATGAACGTTATGTTATCAGATTCTGATGTGCCGTTTCATTATTTTATTTCCAATACATAATACCTAAMCTTTTTTTTTATTAATAAGTATAATATTATGTTTATTATGATTAAAGGAGGAGTTAATATTTATCGTTAGTTTGATTAGCTCGTGACTTTCAGATGTGAATAGGTAATTATACAAATTTAAAATTTTGTCTGCGATGTAAACAAGTTAAAAAATTCTTTAAAAAATATTTGAGTGTAATAATGTTCTAACGAGCTAAGTGCCGCATCGTTTTACAATTAATTGAATGTTGTTCGAAATGTTCGAATTATAATCATTAATGGGTTATAATGTGTTCGTTAGGATTTCAAGACCACATTTGTTGCATCAGCCATCAACTTTATGAAATCACGAACTGACATTACTGCAAAGTACTTACAAGTAACAACAAAAGATTAAATAAAGTGCCAACAAAGACAAACCATCGAGTGTCAACAGTTGATGCGAATGCGTTATCAACACGATGTGATAACATTATTGTTATAACTTATAAGCAAATCACCGGCGGTAATAAATATTAAATATTAATAAAATTATCAAGCCTTCGCCGTTTTTCTAAATCGTAATACGATTTTTTTTTTATCTGAAACAAAACAATTTCATTACTCATTATTATTATTATTAAATTATAACATCATATTATCCACTCTTAAGGTCGCACATTATCATTTCGCGATGCTTAAATTTATAATTAATACTAAATTAATTTGTACATAATCTGTTACTATAATTAAAAGCAACTTGAATTAAAAAAATAATGTATTTTAGTATCTAGTGTTAATATGTAAGTGCAATAAACATATAGCCAAACATTGTGTTTAAATTACATTAGAATAAAAATAGGTCAATATTTTATGATACCATGTAAATTAAATTTGATATTTATGCCCAATTTTATATTATCAGTTACAATTATTGTTGTGGATTTAATTCACTACTGACTATCTCAGTCATAATGCAAGTATGACTGGCGATCAGTCACATTTAACTTATGGTTAATACTAATTTATTAAAGTTGCATAGTCTTCAATATTTATTCATCTACTGTATGTACCTAATAAAAAATAACTAACATATTTTTTTGTAGTTAATACAAAGCTACCTACTGTAAAAGTATTTGTATTTTTATAGTTATAAATTTCACATATTATACTCTTAAAATACTTAATTTTAGTTTATAATTTATACTGTTGTTTTTTATTCAGGACAATATTGAAGAATATTAGAAGAGTTAAGTTTGTGCGAATAAATACAATTATTTTTCAAAAAATACATTTATACTCATCAATTGGTATTAATCAAAAGAAAATGGAAAAGTTCAAGTTAGCATCTAGATATGAACCGGGCCAATTCAACGTTTGGTAAGTGTTTTATTTGGTATTTACTAAATATTAAATTACGGAGATATGAGATTATTTTTAATTGTTTAAATACATTTTCAATGATTAAAATTATATAGGTAATATAGTTAGTTGTATTTTGAGMATTTGTACAATTTTTAGTCTTTTATGTCTTATTAGTCTTATATTTTCATATTTTTAGTCTGTGATTTTTACTGGATACATTTGCAAATTTTTCTTTACCTAAATTTCTTACCTATGTGACTTTTATGCTTCTTAAACAATGCACACACTTTTCATTCTAAGTATAATATTTTAAGTTTACAGCTGTTTTGTCATGGGTATAAAAAAACCCAAAATTTGCAGCAATGTAAGTTAAATTATTTTTTAATTATCATTTTCCATTAAATTGTTAGCTTTAATAATATTCCTAGTRGTAGTAATTTCAGTAGCTTTTATATTTAAAATTATATAAAGTGGTTTATATAGTCACATATGTTGGTTAAAATAAGATTTGKAAGCAAATTTAGGATTGGGACTGAATATTTGTCATGCCAGTATATTGTTTTTACGAACTGTTGAAAAAGATATAAAAGTTGTAGGTGTTAAACATTTTTGTTAAATTTATTTTGACTATTAAACTTATCAATTGCACATTTAAGACTGACATATTGATACTTAGATGCTGTTTAGATACAGCAGATAATGTTTGTTGTCTATAAGTCCATAAACAAATTGGAAAAGAAATTAAAAATTACTTATRCATTTACAAAATATGTTAAGTACATTTGGGTTTATTTCAGTCAGAATGATTTAAATAGTACAGTGTTTTTTTATCTAATTAAAAATATCTCATTCCGATATAAATATTTAATATTTACAATAAAATTCATTTCTTACGTATTATATATTTATATATTTGTTTTATCCAATATAATATAACATATTGATTAGGTATTTTACTTATCCTTGTTTATGCTTATGACAATATATATAAAATTTTATAAAAAGGCAATTGGAATTGAGATCAAATATCTAAATATAACTGAGACTTATAAGTTTGTAAGTGGTTTATTTTAATTATGAGCCTGTCAAAACTTTTGTCCTCTCAAAAACGAATATGAGGCTATTGTGTGGTCAACTAAATATTTATATTCCGATAGTGGATTTTAAAAACTTAAATTTTTATAATATTACTGAATTCTACTARTAATTTTGAGTTATAGTATACATTTATGTATATAGTTTAAATCATATGAATAGATGTTGACTTTCATTCATAGACAATAATACGTTTTTATATGATAAGAGGTATTTTCAAGCAAGGTGGATATACAGAGGTATAAATACTGCTTACAAATTAATTGAAATATGCAAGCCTGGGTAAGTTAATGCATTTTTAACTGAATTAATTATTTAAGTTGACGGAAAACATTAAAAAGTTTAAAATTAATAGTTAACCTAATTTTTTTAAACTCGGTTTGGTTAAAAGTTATATGGAAATTTTCAATTAAGTTATTAATTAAAGTTAATTTAAGTTATTATGATTATTTTTTTTTTTAAATTTCTTTATCCCAGTAATTTGGTTTAAAATTAATAAAATCATAAATATTATTGAAAACTGGAAATAACCAATAGCTTTTCAATTCAAAGAATTGAATCAAAAAAATAAACATACTTCACTAGACACTGATAACTACATCAAAACTACACAAAAATTAAAACTTAATATTCTATATTCAATATTGTAAATCTTGAGTGCTGAAAGAGCMAAAAACGAAAAATGAACCCATTTGGGTTATGAGCCGATGACTTTTTTTCTATTGGCAATATTGGATTTATCAGTATAAACAATTTTAATAAATAAGTATATATGTTCATACAAATATAACCCAAATGGTTTTAATTTACAAACTTAATACAGTAATAACTTATTTATGGCAAAGATATTTTATTATATGTTCTTTAGAATTGTAAATTTGTGATTACTGATTTATATATAATATTACTTATTAGTATTTACTATTTATTACTTATTATTATTGTCCATATTACAACATGCCTGAATTCCAGGGTATGGTATTATAATATAAAATAATATAATATAACCTTTTTTATTTA